ATCGTTTCGTTACCGATCTTCTCTTCCGGCGCCGTCTTGCGTACACCGTTATCGTCTTCGTTGAAGGTCCGTTTACGACTCTTTTTTTTATCCCTTTTGTTGTGCTCGTGTTGATCGTGAGATTATTTAGGGTGTGTTTTTCGATTCGAAATTGCATTACGATTAAGCACTCATTTCAGAATGTAGTACGCTTTAGATTTGAGGAATCTCTATACATTTACTAGAAAATAATCCCTCTTTTGACGTGTTTCTGGGATTTCATTAGTTGGGGGATTGAATGATGTTTCTGAAAGTTACTACTAGGAGATTGAAATCATCTTTTGTTTGTATGTATACAAAAAATATTGTTTTTTTTCTTCTCATATTTAATGGATTTAGCATATGAACAAGAACAAGGTTGCATCTTTTATGTGTGTGTTAACTTAAATCGTTCATGTGAAATGGATTAAAAGGTGAGGAGTATGGTTCAAAAGGAAGAAGAAATGAATGAGTGTGGTGCTCTCAGTGGTGACAAAGTGGAAATGTCTTCAGTGTCACCACCTCAGGAGAAAGGAAGGAAGAATAAGAGAAAGTTAGCTGATCCTTCTCAACAAAATACTGCTTCTCTGACGGAATTCCCTCGATATGAGTCACCTACGTTGAAACCTCAGAACCATTTGAGTGACAATGGGCCGATTGGGGAAGTTTCTAATCCGCTGAAAGTTGAGGAGTCTGAATCTGTAGGATGGGATGACCCATTTGCCTGTCATCTTGAAGAATTGTTGTCATCAAATTTGCTCGCGCTCTTCCTTAATGCAATGAAGCAGGTTATTGATTGTGGTGTCTACACCGATGATGATATTCTGAAAGCTATGTCAGGTAGTAGGCTCTATTGTGGAGGCAATGATCTTGTGGCAAACATTGTCAATAACACTTTGAGTGTTCTCAAGAACGGAAACGAAGGTGCTGGTTCAAGAGATTATGTATTTGAGGATCTGCACCAACTTGTCTCGTATACGTTGGTAGAGATGATAAGTCTTGTTAAGGAGGTTAGGCCGTCCCTGTCAACAGTTGAAGCAATGTGGCGGCTTTTGATGTGTGACTTGAATGTCTTGCAAGCATTTGAAGTTGAAGGCGATGGATTGGTGGAATCTACTGCGAGTAAATCATCTGAATCTGTTGGTGCTGAATGTAATCCTCCAAACTCTTGTGACCCAGATAAAGCGAAGCCTCCACAATCCAATGCGCAAAGCAATCAGAGTGAGACACTCAAATTTGGAAACTTCCCAAATACAGCCAACTCCAAAAACACTCATTCTTGTGGAACAACATCAGGAAAAGAAGTATGTTCAAGAGTTAGCACTGTTTCTGGCGATGGCATTAAAAGTGCATCTTTTACTCTAGTCTCTGATGAAAAATTGGTATCTTGTCGGAAAGGCCGCACTAAAAAAGAAATAGCCATGCTCCGGCAGAAATCATGTGTGGAGAAGATTAGGACTTACAGCAAAGGCAGTGGCTATAAGGCGGCAAAGTTTGCATCAGTCGGCAGTTTCCTTTTAGAGAAAAGAGTCAAATCAGCTTCTGATCCGATGGGAAGAAATTCTTCATCAAAGATAACAACAGAGATTGGGGTGAAAGTTTCATTGACTGAGGATAGTAACGGTTTCTTACGTAAGAGCATTACTAGGTTAGATTCACCTGTATGTGTGGTAGATGCAAAGGGCTATATAACTACCATACCTGCTACTTCTCCAACTTCTGTATCACTAGCTTCAAAAAAAAAGTCTAGTTCTGACACTGCAACTCTGATACCATCAGCTTTAAAAAAGAAGTCTAGTTCTTCGGTACCATCAGTTTCAGAAAAGAAGTCTAGTTCTGAGGCTGAAGAAAAGGCTTCAGTGTCTGCAAAGCTAGCACCAGATTACTACGCTGGGATCCCGTTTGATGCATCTCTGGGGGTATATGTTCCTCGGGATAAAAAAGATGAATTGATTCTAAAGCTAGTTCCTCGAGTGAGTGATCTGCAGAATGAAATGCAGGTATGGACTGACTGGGCTAATCAGAAAGTAAAAGAAGCAACCGGTAGACTTCTTAAGGGCCAACCAGAGCTTAAGGCACTAAGGAAAGAACGAGAAGAGACACAACAGCATAAAAGAGACAAGCAGGTATTGGAAGAAACCACTATGAAAAGGCTGTCAGAGATGGAGTTAGCGTTGAACAATGCGACCAACCAGTTTGAAAAAGCTAACAACACTGCTCGCAGGCTTGAGGTAGAACAAACTTTACTGAAGACAGAGATGGAAGCTGCTAAGATCAGAGCTGCTGAGTCTGCTGAGAGTTGTAGAGAAGCAAAAGAGAGAGTGCAAATATCATTGAAGGATACTCAGTTGTGGGAAGGGCAAAAGATTCTGTTGCAGGAAGAGCTCAAGAGTCAAAGTGACAAGGGGAAAGTGCTGCAGAAAGAAGTTACCAAAGCCAAAAACCGCCAGAATCAAATCGAGGTTAGCTACTTTTATAGAGATAAGCCTTTGCACATGTTAGGTCTTCTCGTCTTAAAATGTCTATCGTTAGCTATCAGCAATTCACCATATTTCTCATCTGATAAGTTATCCCTTCCTTCAACTTCTTATTTAAGGTAACAATTTTGTTCTTCTGGCTACGCATATATTGGCATTTTGCTAATGAATGCGAGAGGTTGAAGGGAAAAGTATGTTTGCATCAATTGTTTTTAGTCTTTGTGCTTATTTTATTGCGTCCTGTTGAAAGTAGCTTTAGTGTTAGAATCAGACTCAATTGATGTTGTAAGTTTAAGAAAGGGTTGCATTAGCTAACAAAAAAACTATTCCACTGCAGGCTCTTTTGAAACAAGAAAAGACAGCCAAAGGGAAACTCGCTGCCCAGGCTTCTGCGGTAAAGAAAGAGAGAAAGGAACTTGAAGCACTTGGAAAGGCGGAAGAAGAGCGGATCAAAGCAAAAGCAGAAACCGACATCAAATACTACATAGATAACATCAAAAGACTTGAGAGAGAGATCTCAGAGCTGAAACTTAAATCAAACTACTCGAGAATAGCTGCATTGAAGAAAGGCGGCAATGACTCAAAGGCAACAAAACTCGAGAATCTTGGGATGACAAAAGTGAAAAGAGAAAGAGAATGTGTGATGTGTTTGTCTGAAGAGATGAGTGTGATCTTCTTGCCTTGTGCTCACCAAGTTCTTTGCTTTAAGTGCAATCAGCTTCATGAGCAAGAAGGAATGATGGATTGTCCGTCTTGTCGTGGGACAATCCAGAGGAGGATTCAAGCTCGCTTCGCTTTCGGCGGGTAAAAGCTTTTTTCCCCAGTTAAAAACTCATAGAACACAG